AAAAAATGTCCCTTTTGGTTCTAAACTATTTATGAATGACAAGATGTTCTTATATATGAGAAATGTCTTCTTCGTGAGTTAGTCATCTCGCGAGAAGGAACCACAAGGAATTCTAAAGTCATCGATCTGCCGGGTGTTCCAGATTGCCTCACTCACACTATTGATCCCAACATCCACTCGTGCCTCAAGCATTCCCGGAATACCGTTACAATGCACGCCGATTCAAATCCTCAGTCCGTCTGCAACGACAACAACAATCGCAAATAGAGACACTGATGCATAAGCTGACTAGCCTGCTCCTTATCCTAGTGTGTCTCCATTTACGATTCTTATTGCCTGATCTATCCAATCAATACACGCTAGTAGCTCCAGAACACACACCACAGCTGCCATGGCTGATTCTACACCTGCACTCACCATCGAGGAATGCCTCGCCCGCTTTGACCACCTCCCACAAGTGGGAAATCCACCAACATACAAAGAGGTCAATGCATTGGATATTGCAAATCGACGCAACACAGCCAAATTCCCCTCACCAAACGGAGGAGGCCAACTGTGTCATGTGGGTCTGACAATGCCCGCACCAGACTATGCCCTCATTCCCCCCTCCGACGCATGGGTCAATCCGTCAATTCAAAATATCAACTGGCTCCAAATTTTGAAGATAGGCGTTTCATTGTTACTGGGGATGTGCTGACGGCTGATATGCTAATCAGTTTCTTCAAACGAGTTGACATGGAATTTTTGAGATGTCGAGACAAGAACGGACAGAAAATACAATCCAAGGAAGAGATTAGGGAAATTCTGCAACAACGATTGTTCCTGCAGATTTCCATTTCAGCCTACACATGCTGGAATGCTTGTTGAAGGGATTCTATGGGAGCTGGCTTCAATGTTTCCAAGTGGCTTTGGAGTTTAAAAATATCATACCCAAAGAGCGCTACCAGAGATCAAAGAAGAACCGAAAACTTGATGCATTTCAAGGAACAATTCTTGAGACAGGCTGAAGTCCTACAAGATCTATATGACGTGGCATGGTTCCAAAATTTTGCAGTCAAGACAAAAGCGTATGCTGCTATTGCTAGCACCAATACTGCTGCTCAAAACAAGTTCAAGGATGATATCTTTGAAGCCGTTCTTGCAACAGGATTTCTGTGCAACTGCAATTGAACAAGAACAGCTCCTCTGATGCTGGATCTTCAGACAAACTATTGCAGAGATGTGGATTATTATCCAAAGACGGTCAGCAAAGCACAAGATATGTTGAAGATTCACATGGATGTGATTAAAAATCCGGGAGTGAACCTCTACCAAGGAAAAGACCAACCTAATAAAGGTAAAGGCAAAGGGGAAACCAAAGGATGGAAAGATGGCAGCATGTTATGTGTGTGGCAACAAAGATCATATGTCTCCAAAATGCCCAGATAGACTGCTACCAAAGATCCAATGGAAGAATCAGGACCAATATGTTGACTATGGGAAGAAGCTCAATCTTAATCAGATTGGAGCAACTGTCCCAGCTACTGTTCCAGCTATAGTTCCTGGAGCTTCAGCGTCCACAAGTGGAGCATCAAGTGTTGCGGGAAGCATTAACACACCTTTGCGACTTGCTGGTACTACAGGTAATCAAATGATGCAAGTTCCTTCTGGAATGCAGCTCATGCAGATTCCAACTCAAGGTGGCAGCACTGTTACTGTCCCTTATTCTATGAATGCTAACGGTGAGATTGCGTTCCGTGGAATGCAACTCAGCCAACAAGGCTTCAGTGGTGCTCAAGTACGCCAAGGATTCAATGCAACTCAAGCTCAAACTCCGCAGGTTGTAAAGACTGGCAATTGCAATACGTCAAATGTCTTCCACGATGCTATCAAGGGAAAGGATGAGAATGGCAACGATGTCTATCTTATTCCATGTCCTGCTGGTACGACAAATGTTGAACTTCAAGCCGACTGGCACTATGCTAGTGAAAATGAAGATTTGCCTGATCTTGCTACTGAAGCAGATCGAGGTCTGCAGCTCTTGCACAATTACCCTACAAAGTGGTTCCAAAGGTGATCACTGAATGTCTTGGACGTCAAGCCGCCGAGCTATTGAATGTCTTTCCCCAGAAAGACAGTACCTCATCACATTTCAGTCCGCAGCAACTCATTGATAATGTCAATTTCAACTACAAGAGTGACATAGTCGCTGAACTTGGACAATATGTTCATGCAATTGGGACGGATTCCAGCAATTTGATGGAACAACGTACTGAGCACTGAGTGCTCAACCTCAATACTAAGAAGATGATTTCCTAACCCAAGGTAGTCATACTACCCGTAATCCAGCGTGTTGAAGCTTGTGCTGCTGCCAAAGGAGTTACTTCCATGAAGTTCTTCAATAAGAAGAGATATTTGGAGACATTTCAAGATGGCAATCAAATTGCAGGAGTGGATGGCACTGAACAAGGTTACTTAGAAGAAGCCTTTGATCAGGACTATGAACCTGAAGATGAAGATGGACGTGATTTCAAACTATGTGGACAATTCAATGATATTGACAACTCCAAAAGAGAAGAGCTCTTGGCAGATGCAGACAATGATGTTGATGATATGCCAGAACTCACTGTCAGATTCCAAGGAGATGATGACTATGAATCAGACAACTGATCTGGAGGACCTACAAGAGCCGCCAGAAGAAGAGATTGTATTTGAGCCTGAAATGCCTCAAGTAGCAAAAGTCACTCAATCTGGGCAAACGTATGCGCAAGCTGCAATGTCTGGGCTGAACCTTTCTCAAGTTCCAAAGAAACCAAGAGAATGGCCTTTGAGCAGGAGTGGCAGTTCTGCCAATAAGAACAAGAATCGAGTTGCAACAAGATGCAAGCATTGAGAGAGAGAATTGAAACCATTGAAGAACAAGTTGAAATCTGGTATTTGTACCAAAGAAGGAAGTCACAGTACTAAGGACAGTAATGCTATCCTTGAAGCACAGCACAATCTATGTTTCCAACCGATTGGGAATGAGATGAAAGCTGATTATGAAGAGCACGACGCTATTCTGATCGCTCGTTGCATGATGCAGATCAAGGCCAAGTTTGATACTGACGAAGGTCTGAACTTCATTCAACAGTATTACATCAATCATGGCCAAAGAAGTTTGGTGATATTGGAAAGGATGCTGTGGATAAGAGATTGTTTCACTCCCGAATTTGTTAAAGACATGACCGCGTCTGAGCAAAAGAAGGCCCAATCAGCGATGATGTTACTCGCGGAGAAGCAATTTGAAAAGACAATTATAGGTCGCCTAGTATACCAGGGATATGGAACTCGTGAATGGTTATCGCGAGAGGACACTGCAAGTCCAACTGCTTTGCAAGAAGCAATCACCACTACTTGTGTTATTGATGCACACAAAGGTAGAGATATAATGACGATGGACGTTCCTAACGCTTTCATTCAAACTTATATGTCTGAAGCTAAGGAAGGAGAAGATCGTATCTACATGAAAATCACTGGCATGATGGTCCAGATATTGATTGACATGGCCCCAGAGTATCGCAATACGTTGTTTTAGAGAACAGAAAGCGAGTAATCTATGTGTGGGTACTACGTGCTATATATGGGATGTTGCAATCAAGCCTCCTATTCTATAATCAGTTTCAAAGTGACTTGGAGGCAAAGGGATTTGTTTTCAATCCGTATGACCCGTGTGTTGCTAACAAAGTTGTTGATGAAAAACAGCAAACTATAAGATTTCATGTTGACGATCTTATGTCAAGTCACATGGATCCAAAAGTAAATGACGAATTTGCTAGATGGTTGAACATGAGATATGGTTTGATCAAGTCATGCACGATTGTCAGAGGAGTCATGCACAATTGTCAGAGGAAAGATTCACAGATATCTTGGAATGACTTTGGATTTCTCGGTGAAAGGAAAACTCAAAATCCGCATGGACGACTATGTCAAGAACATGTTGGAAGATTTTCCTATCAAGTTCAACAAGGATTCAAAGCAGGAAACACCAGCTGGTAACGATTTACTGGAAGCTGGTAAAGGGAAGTTACTCAGTGCTGA